CTTCCCTTGAACACCCGCATAACCTGGCACAAAGATGAAGGTTAGGGCAGATATTCGTGAAGTGCTCAGTGTTTCAGTCCATTCGTGCCTGATAAATCCAGCTTAGATCATAAAATGTTTCTACATTTTAAACGTGATTTTCTCGAGGTACTTTATTTTTAATTCACCCTAAATGAAGCAAATCCCTGAGTTTCGAGGAAAGTTCAATATTCTAAGCGTGTTGTGGGTTGGGGTTAGAGTTGGTCGGTGTCTCTGAGGCGGCCATGACTGACAAAGATCCTAACCCCACCCCTAACCCATAACACCCATAGAACATTGGACTTTCCAGGAAACTCCGGGATTACCTTTGTGTGGTGTGAATTAAACATAAAGTACCTTTCTAGCAAAGAGGATTTAGCTTTCAGGTGATTTTGGAGTAAAAAGGTAAAGTAAAGGACCTTTTTCAACGCCTTAAGGCGCATAGGGCATATAGGGCTAGACCTATATTTTATAGACTAATCGGCACAAGACGGGTGATGTGGTCACCATCACGCCGGCTGCCTTTACTTCCTGGGATTGCACCCGGTACCCACTCAAGGCTGGGTCGACGTGGGAGCCAAGGTCATTTTTGGAAAAAAAAGTCCGGCTCCGCCAGGGAGCGAACTCAGGACGACTTTGGAGTAGTATCATTGATATTTTGAATTGGCCTAGCATCATATAGCCTATTGATGGGTCACTGTCGTATTTGTTCGTTTGACGTGTAAGGCTTGAGACAACGTGGAACCTTCTGTAGCCGAGGTTGGAGACAAGTCTTGCTTCAGCCAAGCTATACGTACACGCTGTTGAATGTATTGTTTGGCTTAACGCCAGTCACCAACAGTTGTGGTTATGACCCCCTAAGCACACTTTCAGGACTAATTCCCATGCACGCATGGGAATGCCCCAAGTGCTGTGATGTCAATTCTTGGCTCTTCTTCTCATTCGTTCGTCGGCTGTGAATTCCGGCGGAAGCTCCCGGTTAATCGTCCGCTTGAACTTTTGGCTTTTGCCTGGACCTGAGTTTTGCGTGTACAACTGTTTTACTAGCTTTTGCCGTTCCCTGCCTCACGGGCAGATGTACTCCGACTTTGAGGGAAATTCTTGACTTAACTCAGGACTAAGTTTGTCAGTTAAAAATATTCCAGAGTCACATATGTGAAGTGGTACTCAAGACAGGTGAACATGAAGTATCACTTTTCAGGCAGCTTCACAATGTGTATTTCATCTCAGTATTTCGTTTCATTTTAAAGCCTTTAAATGCCCCCGTCCCCTCCCCCATTTTGCACTTCTTGGTGTCATGCTGGCCTTGTTTTGTATTTTTTAAACTAGTTTTGTTATCTTGTCCGTTGAGTTTTATAGTCACAGTTGGTGTTGTATTTAGTATTCCGTTGATAAAGATTTTGGTCGAAACGTTTGGTTGTTTTTATTAGCGTCTTTTCCAATTCACTCCGTTGAGCTTTCCAAACACATTTTATGTTAGATTTAGCATTTCTCGCAATCAGCTCAACTGTAGTCATCTCCTATTTACGTCATCACTTCCGATACAGTAAATTCGGCGAAAGGGACAGCGATGTTTAGATAATAGAAGATAGCACAAATTAGCGCGTCCAATTACACAACAGACTGACGGGAGATCCGAACCCTACCCATAGAAAGTCGGCGCCTGTGGCTTAGACGTTGCGAACACGCTTTGTAATGCCGGGAACGAACCCAAATGCAGGCGATTTGGCAGCAGTATGTTTTGCGCTGGTCTCGACAATGGTATCGACAGCCGACCGTTTAGATAGAAATGGCAAACTATGAACGCAAACGCAAAAGCCAAAACGGCTATCCTCTGAATAACGGTCTTAAATTATCGAGGCGGAAAATATACCCTAACAGGGCCTCAGTTATGTGTCAATTGCGCACTTCCGTCGTCAAAAATTGTGCACTTCCAGCGACTTCCACCACCGCCGAGAGTATCCCCTACGCCGCTCACGCGGCGTGGATTGGGGCTAAAGTATATGGCTGGGACTCACGAGCAGCAGCTACCTCATCTCCTGCAGTTTCCTTCATTTTATTTGCTCGTCGGGAAAGCTGCACAACTGTGAAACCACTGACTGGAGAAACCCGAAACTATTCAGCAAGTGCCATGACAGAAAGGTCGACCTTTCGGGACAATAACACCAGCGAAGACAGGTCAAACAGGTCGGTCTCTCAGTCAAACCAGGATCTATCTTGTTACTAGGTCACGTCTCGGTCTCAAGTTTGCGGCATGGCTGCCAATGATGGGTTTCGCCCCCAGATATGGGTTTTTATTTGACGCATTTGGTTCAAATTTTGAATCTGTTTTACTTTTTAAATATTTTCTTATATAAAAGTGGGTAAATGTTTCGTTTCGTAACTATAAAATTTGTACTTTTTAACAATCTAGAGTTTGTGTTTTCCTTGCTTACGTATTGCTTGGGTTTTTGTTCAGCTTAGGTGGGTTTAAAAAAAAAAATACCATTGGCAGCCCTGGTATACGGTCGTGTTGCTGGTCCGTCTCGCATACTACTGCACTAGGTGGAGCCGTTTAGGCGACATTATTGTGTTTGTACGGATTCCTTACAGGGTATGTACACATTTCATCCTGTGTTTCTTTTTCTTCTTCTTCTTCTTCTTCTTCTTCTTCTTCTTCTTCTTCTTCTTCTTCTTCTTCTTCTTCTTCTTCTTCTTCTTCTTCTTCTCTTCCACCATTTTTTTTACCTCAGCGAGGTGTTGGGGGAGATGTACGGATCGTTTGTGCGCCTTTTCCAATGCATTGTACCTGGTGTTCATTTCTATTAGGCTGCTCCTGAAGGTGTCGCTCCATCTCTTGCGTGGTCTTCCCCTTGCTCTGTGTTCATTATATTTCTTTAGCGTGGCTATCTGTAACAGTTGGTACTAGGACGTTCTCGTCAAGTGGCCAAACCATCTCATTTGTTGTTCTTTAATGAATTGTATGATTGATTTTAGTCCTAGTCTTCTTCTAATTTCTTTATTCCTGATTTTATCTCTTCTCGTCACACCGGCGCAGGTTCATGAAGCTCCACCCTGGCTTTTGCCATGGGCCGCAATATAGGCAGGCCATCAATATGGCCAATTGTCTGAACGCGGTTTATGGGACCCCTCCACGGCGATCCTCATCCGCATGGGGTGTTTATCGCTTGTGTGATGTCCTGGTGGGGGTAGAAAGTCAGTCAGTCACACCGGCAGCTCTCCTAAGACATCTCATCTCTGTTGTTACGATCTTGCGCTCATTAGTTCTCACTGGTAGCACAATGTCGGCCAAAAAACTGTTCTTATGAGATTTGCTTTGCTTGACAGAGGTATCTGATATCTGCTGACGTAAAGCAGGTATCCGTGTTTGTCGGGAGGCAGTAAGTCTGTGCCTTATCATCATCATCATCAGGTGCCTTGCCAAGTGGCGTGGGCGATCATGCCTCTCCATAATCTGCGATCTCCTGCAGCATGTATCAGTTCGTGTGCCGACACACCTCCATGCCATGCAACAATACTGTCAAACATCTTCTCTCGTTGTCTTCCTCTATCTCTCCTTCCACATATCTTTACAGTGGTCACAACATGTTCTATTTTCCCTCTTCTCGTAACATGGCCGAAAAATGATGACTGTCTCCTTCTGATGTCTGTGATAAGTTGTCTTCGGGCTCCCGCCTCTTTCAAAACCTCTTGGTTGCTCATTTTGGCTGTCCAAGGTATTCTAAGCATTCTTATATATGCCTTATATAAAAGTGTTGTTGGCTTGTTTTGCTAAAATATTAAATCACTGCGCTCAACCAGCACCTCCGAAGGTGGAGCTTTAGGACACAATTGTGACTAGGTTCCTAACCCGATGGGGAGTCGCCGTGGCCGAGCGGCTAGACGCTCGTCGCGGATCGGAAGGTCGTGGGTTCGCTCCCTGGCGGAGCCGGACTTTTTTCAAAAATGACCTTGGCTCCCAGGTCGACCTAGCTTTGAGTGGGTACTGGGTGCAGTCCCGAGAAAGTAAAGGCGGCCGGCGTGATGCTGACCGCATCACCCAACTCATGCCGATTGGTCTATAAGAATATAGGTCTAGTCCTATATGCCCTATATGCCTAAAGGCGTGGGGGTCCTTTACTTTTTTACTTGTTGTTGTTGTTGTAACCCGATGGCCGATAAATTTTCATGACAATTGTATACCATACCACTAGTCAAATAGTTTTAGCTTATCAAGTGTGTGTCAGTTATGTGTTTGTTAGAACCTGCTCTAAATCCATCTAGAGGTTGCTGTGCTGACAAGTCTATCTGGCCGACCATCTCACTCAACCATTGCACTACCAGTGAACCATTGGAAGGGAAATCATCGGGCACGTTACAGCACCATTAAATTCCAGAAAAATTTGACTAAAAAGCTCAACAAAGTGGGAAAGAGGAAAACGTGCACAAAACAACACAACGTAACATTTCGGCCAGGCAGCCTTTTTCAAACACAAGTGAAATACACAAAACTTGGAATTCTAATAATTCCCTCTGGTCTCTGGATAGTGAAATAGGACGCCCGTGTGCATTGTTGCGCACTTAAAAAATCCCTTGGCACCATTAGTATATACTTCTGTTGTCAAGACAACAGGAATAGCAACATCCAGGAATAGCAACATCCAGAAGTACAAACATACTGTTGTAAACAACCAGGTATTGTCGGGGAAACGGGGGATGTGGTGTATGCTTATGTTCTCAGACATATTGTACATGTCACCCGATGAGAGAGGACAAACAACGAAGATTCATCTCCTAAACGTTTCGTTCTTGGTTTGAACAATGTGATCTGCTTGTGCCATATGCCAAAGTACATGTATTCCTAACACAACTTGTGGATTTCATTCAGTTTCTAACAGTACGATCGTGGATGTCCTATCTGAGACAGTACGATCTTGGACTACCACCATCTACAGAAGACATCAGTTGAAGCTGCACAGCTAGGAGTTAAATAAAGTGTTAAGATGAGCAAGCCCTGGCATCCCTCTGCTCGTGTTCTCCTTGTGCTTTTGGCCTTTGTCTGCCTGCTCAGCGCCGTCCACTGTACCCTGACCGTGACGCCGTGGGAACAATCTGCCCGGTTGGGGTCAGACGCTCAATTCATCTGCAGCGATGACGGCAACGAGACAAAAGCCATGTTTCTCACCTGGAGTTTTGTAGTGGCCACAGACAACAATACCAACCGACCTATCCCCAGCACTGGTCTTATTCAGGCCGTGAACGGAACTTTGAGGTTGAGCAACGTGACGTACCAAGACGCGGGGACCTACAAGTGTTCCAACGATGCCCGATCTGAGCCTGCCACGGGAGTTCTCATTGTGTACGTCATGCCGGACTATCTCAAAGAGGGACTTGTTATCGCTGGCATATCTGTGTTCCTGCTGATCGTTGTACTCATCGGCACGGGTGTTATGATCTTTGGGCAGGTGAAGGTGAAAAAAGCCAGGCTTTCTGAACAAGAAAAACGGTTGCTGAAGAAAGCCAACAATTTACACACGTAGCGGAAATATGGCAAGTTTATTCAGAGAACAAAGAAATCACATTACGTAACAATTTAGATCACATATCTGGAGAGGGAGAGAGAGAGAGAGAGAGAGAGAGAGAGAGAGAGAGAGAGAGAGAGAGAGAGAGAGAGAGAGAGAGAGAGACTAAACAATGACAGGCAAGGTTGACCAGACAAAATAGGGAGGATGCAAACAGTGTGAGAAAGAGAAGACCGTACAAGGGTATAGAATGTCAGACCAACAGGTGGGACAGGAGACAGAAAGGTGGGGAGGGGGGCTGCGTGGTCTCGAGGTATGGTGTCCGTCTCGAGTGCTAGAGGTTCCGGGTTCAATCCCCAATAAGGGCTTGCAATGTTTTCACGTTGACTTGGAATTTTAATTCCCCCTGGTCTCTGGATAGTTAAATAGGCCACCCGTGTGCATTGTTGCGCACTTAAAAAATCCCTTGGCAGTTGAAAATCGAAAAAGAGTAGCCTAACGGCATTGCCGGGGCAAAGTTTGGAGTTTAAAATCTATCTAAAGTATTTCTAGATCCTCGCCGGAGCTACAGAGCCTGTGCACTGTGCTGAGCTTCTTCGGACTCAGACTTGGGGAGAATTATGGGGAGACAAAAAAGTAGGTGGGGAAGATGGAATGATGGGGGAGACAAACACACACAACACACAGAGAGAGAGAGAGAGAGAGAGAGAGAGAGAGAGAGAGAGAGAGAGAGAGAGAGAGAGAGGCTGCTTTAACAATGACAGATCCTTTAATGAATTTACAACAAACATGTATCAAGAGAACTTGCTGTCCTGTAGAAGCATACAGTTGAGTCGAGTTGAGACTTGACATCACAGCACTCGGGGCATTCCCATCCCTGCTCCGTCCTATCTTCAGCAGCCAGCGCAGAGTTCCAATACTGATGGTACCGGTCACAATCTGGTTATATGTCCGTCTTGCCTTTCCTTTGAGTGTAGTGAGCCGGCCAGACCCTCTGGTTACATCCAGGTGCCTCATTCTCTCCAGGCCATAATAATCTTGTTTCTCTACTGATTCCGTTGCTTGTTCCCAAAGGGCCTTGACCACATCTGCCTTGTCATGTATCAATTCAACACCCAGTGGTGCGGATCCAGCCAGTCTGTCTGCCTGTTCATTACCCACTACGCCGGCATAGCCTCGGAGAAAAGATCCAAAGTATGCTCACTACCCGTGACTTCCCCAGTAAAGCATACAGTTCAGGTGTATTTCTATACTGCTTCACTGATGTCAAGTCCTAGTGCCTGTCTTGTACCCTAAGCAGGTGTCTCACTTAGAGAGGGCAAGGACAACTCTGCATCACAGTCCCTGCAGAGATTGTGCTTTAGCAGTCTCTATCATAACCTCATTTTAAACATTGCAATCCTTTTCCAGAACTGAAGGAGGTCAACACACCAATGGATCTGTCCGAAAAGTTGTCTTTCACAAATAGCCAGACACGATGTGTCTGCACACCCAGCTGTCCATGTACAGATGTTCAGTTGTGTTGAGTTGATTCAAGAACCGACATCACAGCACTCGGGGCATTCCCATAAGCGTTCCGTCCCCATCTTCAGCAGCCAGTGAAGAGTACCGATACTAATGGTGCCAGTAGCACTCTGATTAAACGTCCGTCTTGCCTTTCCTCTGAGCCTCGAGCATCTGCCAGAACCTCTCGGTCTTCCCCCGGCATCAGTCTCACCAGACTGTGGTGATCCATCTGCTCCTCCGAACTGTACAAGCTGTCCCACAAGGCACTAACCACGTATGTACAGATGTACCCTAGAACAGGCTTGGCAAATATACCGCCCCTGAGTCACAGGTGGCCATTTATATGTTCATTGTTGTCAGGCTATGATGCTCGCTCTACTTCAGTATAATCACATTAGACAATGTGTCCTATTACTGTATGAGTTTGTAATCATGAATACATGACAGTGTGCTCGGTAATATTATATAGTTTGTTGTATATGTCGGCTCTGTAGCTACGATGCGAACGCTTCATAATGCTGGGGTGCCGGGTTCGATCCCAGCTGCGGGCCATGCGCCTTGCGTTGGTTTCAACAGTGGTATCAGTGGGCTGACCGTCCAGAAAGCAATGGCAAACTACTGGACGTAAATTTGCCAAGAGAAACCACACAACAGCCAGGGGCTGCTGGGGTTGGTTCTGCAACGTCCTGTAAAGGATACGCAACTAACCTTGTTGTATATTGCAGAAATGTGACCAGGCAGAATGGTGTAGTTTGTTGTACAGACAGTCAGACAGACAGACAGACAAAGACAGCAACAGAAGGACAGAGACACAGACAGAGAGACAGCAGCAGAAAAGACAGGTACAGCCATACAAGTAGACAGAGAGAGAGAGAGAGAAGAGAGATACAGCAACAGAAAAGACAGAGACATAGACATGCAGACAGGAGCAGAGAGAGAGAGAGAGAGAGAGAGAGAGAGAGCAATAAAAAGATACAGGCACAGACATACAAACAGACAGAATGAGGGAGACAACAACAGAAAAGACAAACAGCAACAGAAAGATGCCAGCAATAGAAAGACAGACAGCAACAAAAAAGACAGACAGCAACAGAATGACATGCAACAAAAGAGAGAGACAGCAACAGAAAAACAGAGACATGGACAGAGACAGCAACAGAAAGACAGAGGCACAGACATGTAGACAGGAGCAGAGAGAGAGAGAGAGAGAGAGAGAGAGCAACAGAAAGACATACAGAAAAACAAAGAGAGAGAGAGAGACAGCAACAGAAAGACAGACAGAGACATACAGACAGAGAGAGAGAGACGGCAACAGAAAAGACAGAGACACAGACATGCAGACAGAGAGAAAGAGCAACAGAAAAACAGAGGCATAGACATACAAACAAACAGAAAGACAGACAGCAATAGAAAGACAGACAGCAACAGAAAGAGAGACAGCAACAGAAAGCAATAGAAAGACAGACAGCAACAGAAAGACAGAGACAGCAACAGAAAAGACAGACAACAACAGAATGACAGAAAACAATAGAAAGGCAGAGAAAAAGATTAAAAACAGAAAAGACAGCAACAGAGAGACAGAAACAGCAACAGAAAGAGAGAGACAACAGCAGAAAGACAGACAGCAACAGAAAGAGACAGATAGCAACAGAAATGACAGACAGCAACAGTCAGACAGAAAGAGAGAGAGAGAGAGAGAGAGAGAGAGAGAGAGAGAGAGAGAGAGAGAGAGAGAGAGAGAGAGAGTCAGTAAAGCTGTAAGACAGAAAGCAACAGAAAGACAGAGACAGACAGCTACAGAAAGACATAGAGACAGTCAGTAACAGAAAAGACAGAAAGCAACAGAAAGATGGACAGCAACAGAAAGACAGACAGCAACAGAAATACAGACAGCAACAGAAAGACAGACAGCAATAGAAAAGACAGAAAGCAACAGAAAGACAAAGAGAGACAGACAGCAACATAAAAGACAGAAAAGACAGGCAGCAAGAGAAAAGACAGAAAGCAACAGAAAGACAGAAAAGAAAGACAGCAACATAAAAGATAGAAAGCAACAGAAAAACAGAAAAGACAGACAGCAACATAAAAGACAGAACGCAACAGGAAGACAGAGACAGACAGAGAGCAACAGAAAAGATAGAAAGCAACAGAAAGACAGAAAAGAAAGACAGCAACATAAAAGATAGAAAGCAACAGAAAGACAGACAGCAACATAAAAGACAGAGAGCAGCAGAATGACAGAGACAAGACATACAGCAACAGAAAAGACAGACAGCAACAGAAAGCAACAGAAAGACAGAAAAGACAGACAGCAACAGAAAAGACAGACAGCAACATAAAAGACAGAAACGCAACAGAAAGACAGAAAAGACAGACAGCAACATAAAAGACAGAAAGCAACAGAAAGACAGAGAGAGACAGACAGCAACAGAAAAGACAGACAGCAACAGAAAGATAACAAACTACAAGTCTGGTATACCCTGATTAATGTATTACCCACAGTGTCACAACAGTGGGCTGTCTCACAGAAAATATGAACAGTAAATGGTATACATGTGTATAGTGTAAATCTGACCTGTATATATAATACAACATACATTGGTAAATTGTGTAACAGTTATGGATAGTAAGTGCTAATATTTCAATGTCTGCATAGCTGCCTCCTCCACCACTTGATGTCTGTGTAGCTGCTGATATCAGATGACACTGATGTATGACAAGCTAGATGTTGTGAGGGCCCTTTGGGAGCAAGTGAACAGTGTCCATGAACAAACGATCATTACGGTCTGAGGAGAATGGCACTGCGAGGTGTTACAAAGGGATCTGGCCGTCGCTCGACACTCAGGGGAAAGGCGAGAGGGATATACAATCAGGCAGTTACTGGCACCATCGGAATTTTAACTCTTCGCTAGCTGCTGGAGATGGGGACGGAGCGCTTATGAGGGGTGTCCCGAGTGCAGTGATATTGACTCTTAATTCAACATTGACAGCCACTAACACAACCACCTGTGGACCCCCCCCCCCCCCCCCCCCCCCTAACCCCAGGTCCCCACAGGTCTATACAAATGTGTGTCAAGCATCATATACCTGATGATCCACCGACATGAAGAAGGATCTGTAGTTTATTTACTATTCCCCCAACCCCCCCCCCCCCACCCACCCCCCACCCCCGTCTGGGTTCCGGGGCCCCACTGTAAGGAATGCAAGAATAGAACCACTGCCTCCCAACAAGCTCGTCGTTGTAAGAGCCGACCAACTGGGGGCTTTCTTTAAGTCTGGCGTACATCTGCCTGAGAAACAAGGGACCAACATTCTGCATACAAACAAGCCAGATCTGTAAAATGGGTATGCAGGTAGAATTCAGGTTCTACAGCAAGACTAAAGTCTGGAGAGGGAAGAACATCCAGAACTTTCCAGCGGACTTTACAGCCGGTGAAAGTGAAGAATAGGATGTTTAAGTATTGACTGTGTGATCAGGAAGAATTCTCTACTGGTTGTACTCAACAGCAAGTTAGTTGCGTATCCTTTACGGGACTTTGCAGAACCAACACCAACATTTTTTGGCTGATGTAGTTTGTCTAGGCAAATTTTGCATTCATAGTTTGCCACTGCTCACTGAACGGTCAGCACTTGGGACCACTGTCGAAACCAATGCAAAGACAATCGTCCTCAGCTGGAATCGAACCCGGCACTACGAAGGGTTGTACCCAAGACTGTACAATTATAACACACAATCAAACACGAGAACTTTGGAAACGACCGCAGTCAAGATAGTCATCATCATTATCTCAAGTGTCTTGCCATAGTGATCATTCCTCTCCACGACCTGCGACTTCTAACAGTTTGTGTACTGATCCCTCTCCATGCAAGGACCCAAGGCTGTTAAAAGTCACCTCTTGCTGTCTGCCTCTATCTCTTTTTCCACAGATATTTCTAGTGGCGACAATGATCCAGTTTCCATCGTCTTATAACATAGCTAAAAAAATAATGACCGTCTCCATCTGATGTTTGTGATAAGTCAATACGGTTAGGTTCATTGCGTATCCTTTACAGGACGTTGCAGAATCAACCCCAGCAGCCCCTGGCTGTTGTGTGGTTTCTCTAGGCAAATTTACGTCCAGTAGTTTGCCACTGTTTTCTGGGCGGTCGGCCCCCTGATACCACTGTCGACACCAACACAAGGCGCATGGCCTGCAGCTGGGAGCGAACCCGGTACCCCGGCGCATTTGCATCATCTTAGCCACGGAGCCGACAGTCAATACTGTACAGATATTAATTACAAACGCAAGACAGCGATAAGGATAAATGCAACAAAAACTGTCACCAAGACATCACACACATCTGCTAATACCCTCAGACCTTTAGCTTTCACTCAGAAACATATATCTACTTTACTGGCTTTTGTCTGAAACTTTCAAAGGTGACCACGACCACAACACTTTCCAGCTACTGGTCCAGGGTAACGTCAGCTCTAGTATTATTTAAATGACCAGAACCAGGAACAAGCACCTTCCAGCTAACACAAAAACCAGGCCTAATTGGTGATCATACATGCAATCATGAATCTGCCAGTCTTCCAGCAAATCGTCTTAAATGCAGGAACAACAAAGATACTTGTGCAGTCAGGAATCTCACTGATCTTAGTCCAGAATTATGCAAACAAAAGGAAATAGTTGTTCACCTGCGTGCGCCCTAGAGCCTGATGCAGAAACAGTTTTCTTACACTTCCAATAATACTCAGTCTTGCTCTCTAAAAATTTCCCTCAATGTTCCCACTTATGTGAAAATTAATATCTTTTTAAAAATGTGTCTTAACACTATACCAACTAAATATATATATATACTATTTACTATATAAAACTGTCACAGGGAATATCCCTCAGCTTGTCAATACCTAAGTAAAACTGTTTACATAAAACAGTGTGTTAATGTTCAAAGATTCTTCCCTGCTTCACCCTTCCCCTGTAGCTGACATCCCCACATCTAGCCACCAGTATGAGCACACCTCCCTCTCCCCCTGTAGCTGACATCCCCACATCTAGCCACCAGTATGAGCACACCTCCCTCTCCCCCTGTAGCTGACATACCCAACTCTAGCCACCAGTATGAGCACACCTCCCTCTCCCCCTGTAGCTGACAGACCCAACTCTAGCCACCAGTATGAGCACACCTCCCTCTCCCCCTGTAGCTGACATACCCAACTCTAGCCACCAGTATGAGACATCTCCCTCTCCCCCTGTAGCTGACATCCCAACTCTAGCCACCAGTATGAGCACACCTCCCTCTCCCCCTGTAGCTGACATCCCCAACTCTAGCCACCAGTATGAGACATCTCCCTCTCCCCCTGTAGGTGACACACCTACATCTCCCTCTGCATCTGACATCCCTAACTCTAGCCACCAGTATGTGCACACCTCCCTCTTCTCCCTGTACCTGACATCCGAAACTCTAGCCACCAGTATGTGCACACCTCCCTCTTCCCCTGTAACTGACATACCCACATCTCCCTCTGCACCTGACATCCGAAACTCTAGCCACCAGTATGTGCACACCTCCCTCTTCCCCTGTAGGTGACATACCCACATCTTCCTCTGCACCTGACATCCCTAACTCTAGCCACCAGTATGTGCAACAACAATCATGCAGAGAACGAACTGTCATGTCAAAGATCAGTGTGCTGTCTCCCAGAGATTTAAGAATTCTTCTCCGGAACTTGAATGGTGACAGTTTTAATCTCCGTGTACTCTTGCAGTGCATACTCTCCTCTGGAAGAAACAAAGAAAATCAACCCTGAATTACTAGAACTCAGGTCATAGATGAGTTTTACCTGTAGGAAATAACTCAGAACACAAAGAGATGAGTTTTACCTGTATGAAATACCTCAGAACACAAAGAGATGAGTTTTACCTGTAGGAAATACCTCAGAACACAAAGAAATGAGTTTTATCTGTAGGAAATAACTCAGAAGACGAGATGAATTTTACCTGCAGGAAATAACTCAGAGGTCAAAGAGATGGGTTTTACCTGTAGGAACTCAGAACACAAACAGATGAGTTTTGCCTGCAGGAAAATCAGGAGACAAACAGATGGGTTTCGTGAGTCAAAAAGCTAAGAGACTTGGCACAGAGAAAATACAGACATCATGTCTGATTCCTTTTAGTCTACCCAGTCATCTAACTGTCTTCACACATGCCTCTGACAATAGAAAATCCAACTGATCACACACAAAGCATCATTATCAGCTGACGAAGCACACACAAAGCAGCCCTGCTGGCTGTAGTAGTCCAACAAAAACTGTATAGCTTAACCAGTTGCAGAATGTTGCAATATATGCAAGCCATAACAATAAACTGATTCAGTCTAGAATTATGCAGACAAAAGGAAATGGTCATTCACCTGTGTTTGCCCTAGTAAAACAGGAAGTTACTTTTGAATATAGTCAATTTTTGTGTGTCAGAATGATTCATTTGTTTTCGTCATTTTATTTAATCATTTCTATAGTATACACCTATGCGGTGTCCGTGGCTTAGGCGTTGCGAGTCCGACTCGTAAGCCAGCATACCGCGATCAAAACCCACTGCAGGCTGCGTGGATTTTAGTCGTGGTATGGGACGTCGCAGGTCGACCCAGCCTAAAATGGGTACCAGGATGGGCTGTCCTGGGAAAGTAAAGACAGCCGGCGTAATGCTGACCACATTACCCACAGAGTGCTGATGGTCTGTAAAAATATGGGACGCTCTGCCCATATGTCTGATGCGCCGAAAGGCGTGAAAAGGGAACTTTACTTTTTTTTAAATAGTATACACCTGACAAGATACACAATATACTAGGCAATAAATTGTGCACTCTATCGTTTGTGTCTTTTTTGTTCAAATTCACAAAGGAGGAATATTGCTTTGATAATATTGTTCTGTAGACACTCAGTGATAAGCTAAGACAGCAGGACTAACTAGTAGATGTGGAGTTATCACTACACTTGAGCTGCACAGTATCGCCTAGACCAACATCAGCCACCATCACAATATGGTGCCACTCTTAAACAATGAGGGGTGACCCTGATTTAGACATGCGATATAACTGTCATGTGACAGATGAATAAACTAGTGGTTGGAGTACTCTCCCTTTGTTACTGTTGTGTAGTTTAGTTCATGTCAAGAAAGGCCCCGGCTGAAATGTCAATGTCAGTTTAGTGCACACTTTTCTGTTTTCCCATTTTGTTAAGCTTTGAAGTCAGAGTTCACCTGATTAATTTCTTGGTATAAGCTTGACTGCAGTCACCCCTATTTTCACCACTTATTTGTGTATAAAGTAACATGAACAAAGTTGGCTAAGTAACAAACTGTTACATGATCAAAGACAGGTAAACTGCAAACATATCAAAGATCCAAGAGGAAACTTACAGTTCTCTGCCATGGCCTGACTGTTTGAAGCCCCCAAATGGTGTCTGAGAGGTGACAACATCATAGCAGTTGACCCTGGTACAGTCAGACAAGAGAACAACATCATAATGTAGCCATAAAACATCCAAGTATACATTACCCATATATAAGTGCACATCATGTACAAGTAAAGTAAAGAATACTTTTCCATGTCTTCAGGCATATTGGGCAGATAGGGTTTGACCTACATTTTATGGACCAATCATCACTCAGGGGGTGATGCGGGCAACATCACGACCAGCCGCCTTTACTTATTCCCAGGACTTTACTGGTGGGGGAGGGAGGGCATATAGTTACTTGTGGGGGGTGGGTGAGGGTTAATGAAAAAGAAAGAAAGGTTACTGGTTGGGTGAGAAAGGCTACTGGCAGGGAGGGGGCGAGGTTACTGGTGGAGGGAGGAAGGTTACTTGTGTGCCTGAAAGGTTACTGGCAGGGAGGAAGGTTACTTGTGTGCTGAAAGGTTACTGGCAGGTGGAAGGAGGAAGGTTACTTGTGTGCCTGGAAACTTGTGTGCCTGAAAGGCTACTGGCAGGGAGGGGGCGAGGTTACTGGTGGAGGGAGGAAGGTTACTTGTGTGCCTGAAAGGTTACTGGTAGGGGGGGAAGGAGGTTACTGATTGGGAAGGGGGATGGTGGTTACTGATGGGAGGATGCAAGGTACTAATTGGAGGATGGTGGTTTCTGATTGGAGGATCAGGGTTACTGATTGGAGGATGAAAGTTATCAGTTGGGTGACAGAAGTTACTACTAATTGGTAACCTGGCAAACATTTAAGGCTGGGTTGACCTGAGAGCCAAGGCCGTTTCTTTTGGTTTTAAAAGTCTGGCTCCGCCAGGACTTGAACCTATGATCTTCAGATCTGCAGGCGAGCATCTAGCCGCTACACAACAGTGGCTTCCACATATCATTTAGCTGGTTCTTAAACCTATGGTCCACCAGAATACAAAGAATATGATCTTAAGTTCAGAGTTTCTCAAACTGTTTTCACCGCGGCGCCCTTGTTGGGGGAACATTTTTCGCGGCACACCTACCCTTAAAGGGGTTTGAATACTTGGGAGGAGAAGAATAAAACAGTGCAAATTTAATGTTCATTTGACTTTAATGCGATGAATGAAACTGTTTGGATGAATTTTTCATTATTTACTTTATGTATATAGGAAGTTAAGTTAATTGTGCCTTCAGATCAGTTGAAGGTTGCTCCTGTATCTGTTTGATAATATAAGCGTATGTTGAAAATGCAATGCAGTTTTACCAATAGCTTTGTTTTCTGAATACACCTGCATCCAGAACTCTTCTTGTATTTCTGTTTTAAACTGCTGTCTTTGTTGATCCCAAGCAAATTTTTTTAAAATCTTGATTATAGCCGCTGCACCTCTGGCATACGCGAAACCCACTTTGAGAGCTACTGTTCTAGAGCACTTAACTATGTACCCACACATGATAAACATACTGTGTCTTTATGTATGCTTGGTTACATATGTCTATGTGCATAAACAACTCAGGTTCAAGATAAAACAGACAAAGCTGATTTCCCAAACACTGCCTGCCTACAAGGTCAGTAATATGGGAACACACAGACTAATAGACACAGCTGGCTCAATAAATACTGCCAGCGCTGCAAGGCCTGTGAGATACAGAGAGACAGACAGACAGACACAGCTGACTCACCAATTGATGCCAGCCTGCAAGGCCTGTGAGATGTGGAGAGACAGACACAGCTGACTCAACAAACACGGCCTGCCTGCAAGGTTTATGAGATCTGGAGAGACAGACAGAGATGGTCACAGCTGACTCACCAGATGCTGCTGCCTGCAAGATCTGGAGAGATAGACACATAGACAGACATAGCTGACTAACCAAATGCTGCCAGGTTGCAAGGCTTATGAGATCTGGAGAGACAGACAGAGACAGACAGACACAGCTCTCACCAGACGCTGCCTGCCTGCAAGGCCTGTGAGACCAGGAAAGCCTTGTTGATGTCGTTGGTGATGACCCCGGCTGCTAGGCCGTACCGGGTCCTGTTGGCTCTCTCAATCACCTCCTCCAGGCTGCTGAACTTGAGGATGCTCTGCACTGGCCCAAAAATCTGCAGATATTTACAGTTAATCAGCCGATGATAATCAGTAATATCTCTCACATCATCAGTAACATTCTTTCACCTGTTATCTCCTTCCCTCATTAGCAGCCTTCCTCCCTTATCTGTAACACGTCTCCCCCCCCCCCCCCACAGAATCAGTTACCCCTATCCCCCAATCAGTAACCCCCATTCCCTAATCAGTAACATCCATTTGCTACCAATCAGTAACCACCAACCCCCAACAAGTCATCTCCATCACCCAATCAGTAACTTTCAACCTCCCATCAGTAACCTCCAACCTCCAATCAGTAACGTCCATCCCCCAACCAGTGACTGTATCACTCAATCAGTAACTTTCAACCTCCCATCAGTAACATCCAACCTCCAATCAGTAACGTCTATCCCCCAACCAGTGACTGTATCACTCAATCAGTAACTTTCAACCTCCCATCAGTAACCTCCAACCTCCAATCAGTAACGTCCATCCCCCAACCAGTGACTGTATCACTCAATCAGTAACTTTCAACCTCCCATCAGTAACCTCCAACCAGTAACTTCATCCCCCAAAGAAGAACCTCCATCACCCAATCAGTAACTTTCATCCTCCCATCAGTTACATCCATCCGCAACCAATTAGTACCCTCTATCACCCATTTGGTAACTTTCATCCTCCCATCAGTAACCCCCATCCTCCGATCAGAAACCTCCATCCTCCAATTAGTATCTTGCATCCTCCCATCAGTAACCACCATCCCCCCAATCAGTAACTTTCCTCCTCCCATCGGTATCCTCGGCCCCCCACCCCCCATGAGTAACCTCCTTCCCCCCACCAGTAACCTTTCAGGCACACAAGCAACCTATCTCCCCCCACCAGTAACCTTTCAGGCACACAAGCAACCTTTCTCCCCCCACCAGTAACCTTTCAGGCACACAAGCAACCTTTCTCCCCCCACCAGTGACCTTTCAGGCACACAAGCAACCTTTCTCCCCCCACCAGTGACCTTTCAGGCACACAAGCAACCTTTTCTCCCCCCATAAGTAACCTTTCAGGCACACCAACCTTTCTCCCCAACACCAGTGACCTTTCAGGCACCTCAAGCAACCTTTCTCCCCCCACCTTAACCTTTCAGGCACACAAGCAACCTTTCACCCCCACCAGTAACCTTTCAGGCACACAAGCAACCTTTCTCCCCCCACCAGTGACCTCCACAGCGCCCCCCCCCTCCCAGTAGACTTCCTCCCTCCACCAGTAACCTCGCCCCTCCCTGCCAGTAGCCTTTCTCACCCAATCAGTAACCTTTATCCCTTTATCAGTAATCTTCCCCTACCCCCACAGTAACTAACACCCCCCCCCCCTGTACACCAGTACCTATATTCCTCCCCACCTATAACCTTCATAGCATTTCTCCCCCCCCCCCCCCCCGGCCCCGCCCTTAGCCCACCAGTAATATCCCTCCCCTAAACAGTAACCTCTATGCACACACCTGTAACTGCCTTCCCCTAATTAGTAACCCCCCCCCCCCCCCCCCCCTCACTCCAACCTCTCTCACCTCATCTGTAGCAATGCTCATGTCATCCTTGACATCAGCAAACACAGTCGGCTGTACAAAGTAGCCCTTGTCCCCGACACGACTGCCCCCCGCCACCAGCCGGGCCCCTTCCTCTGTCCCTTTCTTGACGTAGCTCAGCACTTTCTCAAACTGAGCCCGGTTGACCTAGAACCAGAGTCAGATCTTTATATATACCTGTCTAGTTAACAAATAAGTTAAATTTTGATCTACATCTGCCTAATTAGCAAATAAGTTAAACTTTGATCTACAACTGCCTAGTTAACAAATATGTTAAACTATGGTCTACATCTGCCTAGTTAACAAATAAGTTAAACTATGGTCTATATCTGCCTAGTTAACAAATAAGTTAAACTATGGTCTACATCTGCCTAGTTACCAAATAAGTTGAACTATGGTCTACATCTGCCTAGTTACCAAATAAGTTGAACTATGGTCTACATCTGCCTAGTTAACAAATAAGTTAAACTATGGTCTACATCTGCCTAGTTAACAAATAAGTTAAACTATGATCTACATCTGCCTAGTTAACAAATAAGTTAAACTATGGTCTACATCTGCCTAGTTAACAAATAAGTTAAACTATGGTCTACATCTGCCTACTTAACAAATAAGTAAAACTTTGATCTACATCTGCCTAGTTAACAAATAAGTTAAACTTTGATCTACATCTGCCTAGTTAACAAATACCTTAAACTTTGATCTACATCAGCCTAGTTAACAAATAATTTAACTTTGATCTACATCAGCCTAGTTAACAAATACGTTAAACTTTGATCTACATCTGTCTAGTTAACAAATAAGTTAAACTTTGATTTACATCTGCCGTTAACAAATAAACCTAGATCTACATCAGCCTAGTTAACATAATAGACTACTGGCCAAAATGGAGGATAGGCATGGCAGAATGTTAAGCTTGAAAGTTATTTTTTTGCTTCCGACCGGCACTTTGATAAATGTAGTTTTCACATAAGTCTACAAATTTTCTGCCTGAGCTATTGAGTTTAATGCTTGGTTGCAGGCCTATAAGCTGTGTGTTTCCTGTGAAATGCTTTTCATTTGTGCAGTGGCGGCGTCAAGGTGTTCAGTATGGCCGGTACCTGGTTTGTGTGTGAGCTGGTGGAATACTTTATGTAATAATTCTACGTGTGTATAGTCAACTTATCAGGCCCCACTACTTCCATCAACAACAAGCTGAATTTCTGGTGGTGACTGTTAGCTTTGGCACCTCTAGCAACTGAAATACGCATTTACTGAATGCCCATATTTCTGGAGTGTTCCGGGACTAATTGTTTATTAACCAGTTTTTAAAATGTGACAGTGAGGGACATTTGATTTGATTTTCACTGGCATAGGAAAATAGCAAGTGTGGGGAAGTCTGATTGTGGTGATAAAGAAACCTCGACTAACACAACAAAGTTAACATAAAAAGTCAAACTGTTATCAATATGTCTTATTACCATATAAGTCAAACTGTTATCAATATGTCTTATTACCATATAAGTCAAACCTTTATCTAAGTCAAACCTTTATCTAGGTCAAACCTGTATCTAAGTCAAACCTTTATCTAGGTCAAACCTTTATCTAAGTCAAACCTTTATCTAAGTCAAACCTTAGTCAAACTATAGCTGCTGTGTTTCAGAAACAACAGATAACATTACTTTAACTGCTGTATGTGAAAAAAAAACATTAGTATAACTGCTGTGTGTCAAAAACAACTGATAACATTACTACTAACTGCTGTGTCATAAACAACAGACAACATGACTGTACATGCTGCATTATAAACAACAACATTACTATAGATGCTGTGTGTCAAAAACAACAGATAACATGACTATAACTGCTATTTGTGATAAATAACAGATAACATAACTATAGATGCTCTGTGACAAACAACAATATTACTATAACTGCTGTGTGTTGAAAACAACAGATAATAAGTCTATAACTGCTATATGTCATGAACAACAGATAACATGACTATAGCTGTTCTGTCACAAAAAAAGAAAACATAACTATAACTGCTGTGTCTCACAAACAACAGATAACATGACTATAACTCACAAGTGGGCCCTGTTGAGTGCCTTCAATAAAAGGATTCCCCACTTTTCTGTTGGCCACAAGCTGCTGGGACTTCTGGACAAACTCCTCATAGATGGAATCCTGGACAAACGTTCTGGACGCAGCGCAACAATTCTGTCCGTGGTTGTTCATGATTGCTCCATGAGCACAGTTCACTGCAAACTCCACTGTCCACAGACAATCAAGACAGTATTAGTTTCTCCCATTATAGGCCACATATGAGACCACACTCCACAATCAATCAAGATAATATCAATTACATTATAGAATACAGATGACAGCACTATTATATCGACAAACAATCAAGATAATATCAATTTCATTTTAGAATACAGGTGACAGCACCACTATGTCCACAAACAATCAAAGTAATATCAATTTAATACAGAATATGGATGACAGCACGCTTACATCCACAAAAACAATCAAGGTTATATCAATTTCATTACAGAATATGGATTACAGCATGCTTACATCCACAAACAATCAAGATAATATCAATTTCATTATAGAATACAGGTGACAGCACCACTATGTCCACAAATAATCAAGGTAATATCAAATTCATTACAGAATATGAATGACAGCATGCTTACATCCACAAACAATCAAGGTAATATCAATTTCATTACAGAACACAGATGACAGCACCCTTACATCCACAAACAATCAAGATAATATCAATTACATTACAGAATATGGATAACAGCACTATTATGTCCACAAACAATCAAGATAATATCAATTACATTACAGAACACAGATGACAGCACCTTTATATCTACAAACAATCAAGATAATATTAATGTCATTACAGTATACGGATGAGAGCACGCTTACACCCACAAACAATCAAGGTAATTTCAATTCTGTTCATTACATTTATATAGACAAACAAATAAGATAATATCAATTTCTCCCTTACATTACACAGAAATTAGCTGCAGTGACATGTAACAAATTACCATAGCTTAGTAATCTTGTCTTTTCCCAACTTGTGATGTGACAGCATCTAAAGATTTCACTTCCTCATCCTCAAACAATCCCATACACCACAACAATCCTAAATGTAACCTTTACATAACAATCCCATACTTAACCTTCACACCACAACAATCCCATTTGTATCCCTCACATCCCTAAACAATCCCATATGTATGCCTTACAACCCTATAACAACCTCACAACTAACCCTCAAACCACAACACTCCCACATGCACCCTTCACAGCACAACAATCCCATATGTATCCCACACATTCCCAAACAATCCCAAATCTAACTCTCATACCACAACAATCCAGCATGTACCATTTATACCACAACAATCCCATTATGTATCCCTCACATCGACAAACAATTCCATACTTAACCTTCACACCACAACAATCACATATGTATCTCTCACATCTCCAAACAATCCCATACTTAACCTTCACACCACAACAATCCCATATGTATCCCTCACATCCCTAAACAATCCCATATGTATGCCTTACGACCCTATAACAACCTCACAACAAACCCTCAAACCACAACAATCCCACATGCACCCTTCACAGCACAACAATCCCATATGTATCCCTCACATTCCCAAACAATCCCCCATCTAACCCTCATACCACAACAATCCGGCACGTACCCTTTATACCAGAACAATCCCATTACGTATCGTTCACATTCCCAAACAATCCCATACATAACCTTCACACCACAACAATCACATATGTATCCCTCACATCCCCAAACAATCCCACATGTATCCCTCACATCCCCCAAACAATCCCACATGTATCTAGCACATTCCCAAACAATCCTACAGGTATCCCCCACATTCCCAAACAATTCCCACATGTATCCCTCACATCCCCAAACAATCCCACTTGTTTCCTTCACACTCCCAAGCAATCCCACATGCATCCTTCACCTCCCTGAACAATCCCACACCTAACCCTCACACCCCCAACAATTTGCCACCACACTTAAGGCTATCCTAACCCACCTACCATCACAGTCAGCAAAGACAATGAGAGGACTCTTGCCTCCCAGCTCCAGACTGACCCTCTTCAGGTTACTCTCTGCGGCGGCCCTCATCACCTTTCTGCCAGTCTTCAGTTGGAGGCAAACAAAGCCACAAGTCAACAAGTTATGTTTCAAGACTTCACAAATATCTTCATGTCTGTACAATGGACCAGTATATATCTGCTGGTGGTGCTTCATCTTCTTCTTCTTCTTGTTCTCCTTCTTCTACTTCTTCTTCTTCTTTTTCCCCTTCTCTTCTCCTTCGCATTTTTCTTATTCCTCCTCCTCCTTTTCTGTTTCTTTTTCTTCTTCTTCTCTCCCCCTCTGCTTCTTTTTCTTCTTCTTCCTCCTCTTTTCCTTCTTCTTTTTCTCTTACTTCTTCTTCTTCCTCCTTTTCTTCTTCTTCTTTTCCTCCCTCCTCCTCTTCTTCCTCTCCCTCCTCTTCTTCTTCTTTTTCTTCTTCTGTTTACCCTTAAAAGGGTTGCTTGCATGTAGTATGCTGTGGTGTACAGCTAGGCTGTGATGGGTGTGCCTTTCGCACAATGCATCCTATTGTTAGCAAGCCTTAATTAGTCTTTAATGAGCCCTGGAATCCATGCAAGGAATTCTACTAACCAGTTCTACAAACAACAAGGCAGGGTATGTTGGAGTCTGAGACAACAATGTGCAGTTACATATGGCCGCCTGTCCCAAGTGTCTTAAAAAACCTGAGTTCCAGCCATTAAAATAATCAAATAAAGGTTGTCAATGATAGACTGTACAGTCAAGATCATTAATATTACTATGCACCTTATCTTCTTTTTTTTTTATTCACTGGTTGTAAACTTCAGTGGAAAGTTCTGGTTGTTCGTCCACATCTGGATTTAAGCTTTGTTTCAGAACCTGAGTGTTGCGTGCACATCCGTTTTACAGATCTGACTTTTTGTTTGTATATAGATTACTGGCCCCTTGCCTCTCAGGCAGATGCACTCCAACTTTAAAGTAAGCCCCTAATTAGCCAACTCTTATGGCATGCCCGTTGGGGCAGCAGTGGGTCTACTCTTGTTCTCCCCACAATGGGGGCCCCCGGTACCCACACAGGGGCCATATATACGCCTGGCTCGCTAGCTCAGTTGATTTAAAACCCTCTGTAGGGCAACCGGGTGATGAACTCCTTGTGGTCCAGGTTCACGCTTGGGGATAGCAGAAAAGCCACATTTCTCCCAGATTGTTGGTACCTATCGTGGAATCAAGGCTGAAGGGTTGCGATATCTATAGTACTGAGCCAAAGGTTTTACAACTCATGGTTTCTGGATACTTAATTTTTTAAAAAAAAGGACCATATACCTCATAAATCATACATATCATCCAAGGCATCCCTAATTACATGCAAACCTCATCAACTATTCCATCCATATCATTGTTTTTTGCCTTATCCACACTCTATTTCAGGAAGACATCTATAAGATATCTAGGATCAACCATGAATTGACTTATACAATTTGATCCATCCAAACCCAGTCTGATTTCAGTATTTTTGGCACTTTATATATTCAAAATTTTTAACCAACAAACGAACCTCTTTTAACTCCACTGAAAAGATAGAAAATTCAATGCTATGTACATGTGATATGATCTAACAGCCTCCGTAAAAAAAAAAAAAACGCAAAAACAAAAATACTACAGGTTCCAGTAGAGGGAAAGAGAAGAGGCAGATCAAGAAAGACCCGGATACAGAACATGACTGACTGAACAGGTCTCAGGCATGCAGTCCTTTGCAACTGACTGTCACAGGTGGAGGGGAGCTGATCATTCAACAACAACTGGTGACCCAATGACACTCAGCATTAGGGAATAATGATGATGAAAACAATAAATGGGGGTAACAAGGCAGCAAATTATGACAATGCAGACTTTTGCAGGTACGTTTTGTCAGCAGCAAGGATTAACAATAGGACGGAACCAAATCAGGACCACACAATAGGACACATGGAAAACTATGTAATGGAAACCAACCGGAAAGAAGATAACATACGTACACCTACTACAGCCAATACAACGGAGGGCAAACCATCCACAGGATGTGGATAACAGGAACAATGGGAACTAGACATATAGAAATGGAAAACTCAAATGGTTAGGGCCTTTAAATCATCAAACCTGGCACTAACACTCCAATCTCAGCAAATGTACTTTGCACAAATAAACCAGACCACAAATATCACTGAATGCTGCTAGCATCAGGTTGAACATGCTCAAAAGTTTTTCTTTCATAGTAGAGACAGGAAGGCAATGTAGGTAAAATAAACAAGATGTCTGCAAGTTGAGAATGGAGATGGCATATTCTGTGGCACACTTATCTCATATCTAATAGTTCTGTATTAAATATACAGATTAGGAATTAAGTGAAATGCGATGGCCAGGAGCAGGAAAAAGCATTTAGACAGCTCAGAATTATTTACTCAGGTGGGAAGGAATATAGTAAGGGAGTTTGTATTATTTTGGATCCAAAGAACTCAAAAACTGTGAAAGGATTTTGGGGCAGACCAAACAATTTCTTGAAGCCTCAGAGATGTGGTTTTACAGAAGAATGCTTAAAATACCTTGGATAGCCAAAAAGAGCAACCAAAAGATATTGAAAGAGGTGGGAGCCTGAAGACAACTTATCAGACATCAGAAGGAGACAGTTATCATTTTTCGGCCATGTCATGAGAAGGGCGAAAATGGAACATGTTGTGACCACTGGAAAGATCTGTGGAAGGAGGGATAAAGGAAGACAACAAGAGAAGATTCTTAACAGTCTTGTTGCATGGCATGAAGGTGTGTCGGCACACGAACTGATGCACACTGCAGATTGCAGATTGTGGAGAGGCATGATTGCCCCCGCTAGTCGGCAAGGCACCTGATGATGATGATGATGATGTAGTTAACAGTATCGACAAAGCTGCAACCATACATACATATGGAGAAATGCCAAACCTGCTATGAAAAAAAAATGCTGATAGTATACACAAGATGTGTTACCATATCTCACACACAGTAGGGATACTGATCACTCCTGTCTCAACACCTTGAACTTACTATGTCTGCATTTTACCTGTTTTGGAGAAGCTGGTGTGCTCTCATACATTGCTCAACACAACATACAGATATGTGGACAACATACAGATATGTGGACAACATACAGATGTGTGAACAACATTCAGATATGTGGACAATATACATACATGTGGACAACATACAGACATGTGGACAACATACAGACATGTGGACAACATACAGACATGTGGACACATACAGGCTAGTGGACAACAAACAGACATGTGGACAACAAACAGACATGTGGACAACATACAGGCATGTGGACAACACACTGACATGTGGACACATACAGACATGTGGACAACATACAGACATGTGGACAACATACATACATGTGGACAACATACAGACATGTGGACAACATACAGACATGTGGACACATACAGACATGTGGACAACATACAGACATGTGGACAACATACAGACATGTGGACACATACAGACATGTGGACAATATACAGGCATGTGGACAACATACAGACATGTGGACACATACAGGCATGTGGACAACACACAGATATGTGGACAACATACAGACATGTGGACAACATACAGATATGTGGACACATACAGGCATGTGGACAACATACAGACATGTGGACAGCACACAGACATGTGGACACATACAGGCATGTGGACAACATACAGACATGTGGACAGCACACAGGCATGTGGACACATACAGACATGTGGACAGCACACAGACATGTGGACACATACAGACATGTGGACAGCACACAGACATGTGGACACACACAGACATGTGGACAACATACAGATATGTGGACACATACAGGCATGTGGACAACATACAGACATGTGGACAGCACACAGACATGTGGACACATACAGGCATGTGGACAACATACAGATATGTGGACAGCACACAGGCATGTGGACACATACAGACATGTGGACAGCACACAGACATGTGGACACATACAGACATGTGGACACATACAGGCATGTGGACAGCACACAGGCATGTGGACACATACAGGCATGTGGACAACATACAGACATGTGGACAGCACACAGACATGTGGACACATACAGACATGTGGACACATACAGGCATGTGGACAACACACAGACATGTGGACAACACACAGACATGTGGACAACATACAGACATGTGGACAACATACAGACATGTGGACAACATACAGACATGTGGACAACACACAGACATGTGGACAACATACAGACATGTGGACAACATACAGACATATACACATCATACCAGTGTGGATCCAGTAAAAGCCACCTTGTCGATGTCCATGTGGCTGGCGATAGCTTTTCCAGCCGTGTCTCCGTAGCCAGGAACTATATTTACCACTCCAGGGGGAAATCCTGCCTGTTTAGGAAGCAATACCATTATTTGGCACTTTATTAATATCCTACCCCAGTTGAAGTCACAGGACAGTCCAACATTTTAGAGGGTGGTAAGATTGGGTTTCCCGGCTTTCTGATGCTTTTAACGACCCCAAAACATCTAGAACTGGCCTTAACCCCAACCCACCTACATCCCACTAGAAAGTGCAACCTAGGTCCCACAACTGCATGCAGCCTAGGTCCCATGACTGCATGCAGCCTATCTACCTTCCCCTGAAATATTAGACTGTCCCGTGACCTGTGGATTTCCCCTGTTTTGGGTAAGATATTAATAAAGCACCCATTATTTTATTCTCTCATGAACAGTCACTCGAGACATATTTTTATTTAATTTCCTTCTTTATCTTCTTCTTTGCATTCACCGGCTGTAAACTCCAGCAGAAAGTTCTGGCTGTTTGTCCACTTCTGGAATTTAAACTTGTTCCAGAAATTGTTTTTTTTTACAGATCTGGCTTTTAGTTTCTTGCTCGTTCTTTGTTCGCATTCCTCCTTAAAATGGCAGTTGGTATGTTGTGTTTGCATAAATATATTGGGGTCTTTTGGCTCAACACATCCGATTTCAACCAATTCCTAATTTGTAGAAGTAAAAAAAAGTAAAGATCTCTTTTTACGCCTTAGGCACATCAGGCATATAGGAAGAGCACCCCATATTTTTACAGACCATCGGCACTAGGTGGGTAATGTGGTCAGCATTACGCCAGCCGTCTTTACTTCCCTAGGACATTCATCCTGGTACCCATTTTAGGCTGGGTCGATCTGTGGTGACGCCCCATACCATGATAAAAAAAATCTACCAGTTCCTAATTAATCACCTTTTACAACATGTTCTTTGGAAGCAGTTGGTTTATAAGGCCCCCCCCCCCTTCCTACAGCAGCCCCAGAACCTACATATGGATATTTTTGGGTAATTCTATATTTACAGAGTCGGCGTCTGTGGCTTAGGTGTTGCGAATTTGCTTCATAATGCCGGGGTGCCGGATTTGATCCCAGCTGCGGGCGATTTGGAAGTAGAGCATCTTGCATTGGTTTCGGTACTGATTTTAACAGTGGTACTGAGAGCTGACCATTTAGGAAGCAATGGCAAACTACTAAATGTAAAATGTGCCTAGAAAAACAGCCCGAAAAATGCTGGGTCTGGTTTTGCAACATTCTGTAAAGGATACACAACTAACTTCTAAAGTATCTTCTAAAGTGACAATCTCAGCACCTCCTCCTGATGCATCTCAGCACCTCTTAATGCATCTCAGTGCCTCTTCCTAATGCATCTCAGTAGCTCCTCTTGATTTATCTCAGCTCCTCCTCCTGTTGCATCTCAGCTCCTCCTCCTGTTGTATCTCAGCACCTCCTGGTGCATTTCAGCACTTCCTGGTGCATCTCAGCACCTCCTAGTGCATCTCAGCATCCCTTTGGTGCATGTGAGCACCTCCAGGTGCATTTCAGCACCTCCTCCTGGTGCATCTCAGCACCTCCTGGTGCATCTCAGCACCTCCTGGTGCATCTCATTACCTCCTGGTGCATCTCAGCACCTCCTGGTGCATCTCATTACCTCCTGGTGCATCTCAGCACCTCCTGGTGCATCTCAGCACCTCCTGGTGCATCTCATTACCTCCTGGTGCATCTCAGCACCTCCTGGTGCATCTCAGCACCTTCTCCTGGTGCATCTCAGCTCCTCCTCCTGTTGTATCTCACCACCTCCTGGTGCATTTCAGCACTTCCTTGTGCATCTCAGCACCTCCTAGTGCATCTCAGCATCCCTTTGGTGCATCTCAGCACCTGGTTCATCTCAGGGGTATCCCTGGGAGTGAAGTAGGAGCAGGAACTGTCAGGATGGCAGCCATCCCCTGGATACTGGAAGAAACCATGGATCCTGGAGAGAAGGGATCATGGCCTTAAAGGGTCCTTGTGGTGGCTTGGCTTTGGCTGTAACAGTGGCCCCTATCACTTACATTTTAATGCTGGCTATTAAACAAACCAGTTTGAGAACTCAGTGAGGTGTGAGTGGTTTCGTTTGTGTTGTCATTTATTTTATGTTGATGTAACTCTGTAGTAACGCACCTGATGAGATACAGCCAAATATGCCTGGCAATAAATTGTGCAATATATTGTTTGTATCCGCATTATTTAAATTCATTACGGGAAAACATTGTTTTGAATATCTATAATACACAATGTTTAGTGGTTGAGAAAGACGTAACCGAAGGCCAGGTTCCTGGAGAAGAGGCATTGGTGGACCAGTATAATGGGGGACACAAGATTATGGAGACATACTGCAGATGAGAATAGCTGAGGCTGGAAAAGGTTGGGGGGTGGGGCGTGGGGGAGGGGGGATTAGGGACAGAGAGGCTTTTCCATGAGCCATGACAGAAGTGATGTTCTTGGCAGGACTTGCAACATGATGATGATGATGATGATGATGAACAGACACTGGCTGACTGACTTGCCTCTTTGAACAGCTGACCACAGTGAAGAGCTGACAGCGGGGTCACCTCCGAGGGTTTGAGGATGATGATGATGATGATGAAGAGACATTGGCTGACTGACTTGCCTCTTTGAACAGCTGACCACAGTGAAGAGCCAACAGGGAGGTCACCTCCGAGCGTTTGAGGATGATGATGATGATGATGATGATGATGAACAGACACTGGCTGACTGACTTGCCTCTTTGAACAGCTGACCACAGTGAAGAGCCGACAGCGGGGTCAACTCCGAGCGTTTGAGGATGATGATGATAATGATGATGATGATGAACAGACACTGACTGACTGACTTGCCTCTTTGAACAGCTGACCACAGTGAAGAGCCGACAGCGGGGTCACCTCCAAGGGTTGGAGGATGATGATGATGATGATGATGATGATGATGAACAGACACTGACTGACTGACTTGCCTCTTTGAACAGCTGACCACAGTGAAGAGCCGACAGCGGGGTCACCTCCGAGGGTTTGAGGACCACAGTGTTGCCACAGGCTAGAGCCGGAGCCAGCTTCCAGGACAGCATCACGATGGGGTAGTTCCACTGTAAGTTATTGACATGCATTACATAGAATTCTTATACAGGGTGTTTGTAAAGTCCCACTACCCTTTGTATACAGAAAAAAAAAACTCTGAACTGAAATACAGCAGGTCATTAAAAAGGTGTGCTCCACAGACCACTGTTTTCTTTTTTTTTTTTTTTCATCGAACACCGGCTGTGAATTCCAGTGGAAGGTCCCGGTTAATCGTCCGCTTGGACTTTTGGCTTTCACCTGGACCTGATTTTTGCGTGTACAACCGTTTTTCATTTCCCTGCCTCTTGGGCAGCTGTACGCCGACTTCGAAGGAAGACGTCAGGCCTATTTCTAGGGTGACTGTGGCCATTATTTTGTGTGGGTCGAGACTTTGCCTGATTTGTGTGGTGTCCGCCTTGTCTCCTTCGCCGCAGGTATTGCCCCCGGAGTACCCCTTTGGGGCAGCCCCCTGTGTAACAGTTGGCCCTCAAGGGAAGGCAGGGGCAGATCATGGGCATTCCCCGCCATCCAAGGAGGCTTCCATGCATGGCGCTCTGGTTCTGGGCTCACCCAAGGAATCGTCACGTCCTGCACATGCCTGCTTAACCTTACAACCGTATTAGGTCTCCCGCTCGACAGGGGCTGCGCCCTCTGGAAGTCAGCGGGGAGCAGCCCGTTGGTTTTGGACTTTTGTGACCACACAGATAGGTACATTAGCCCGACAGAATTTCACATCCTGAATCAGGCATATCGTTATCAGTTTTGTCCCAACACTCGGGCGAGTGGGGTCTTTGGGTGTGGACATTCGGCCTTTTTCAGTTCAGTGCAAATTTTGATGGTCAGATTTTGATCCGTATGACCTGAAAGAAGCAATCTGAATTACAACTCAAGAATAACAACAGACATGTTGCAGAAGTTATTTATGAAGAGACACTTGCAGTCCTGTCTTGAAGCCTGTGGTGGACATTTCAATACATGTTATAATGAATATTTCACTGGTACTTCTGGCTTTCCCAAAACAGCATTAGACCATAGTATTAACTAATTTAATGAAATTATAGCATATGTTTTTTAGTTATTATTTGGGTTTTTTGAAATTGTTTTGCATACAAATGTAGTGAGACTTTACAAACACCTTGTATATAATTTGTATATTAACCATCTGACTATACTATCAAACCTCATATACTACAAACATTATCGCATACTACTGATTACAAACATTTTCTCATAATACTTTTAACTAAAAATATATCTGAGTAAAATACAAAGATCTAATTATATTATCCCCATCGACGACAGTATGGGCGTTCCAAATAAATCCTCTACAAAACAATTTTTCACAGGTCACTAATAATTTGTTTTTAATTTATTTATCTACACTTTAAATTTTTTTTTCTTTAAATAATTTAAGATATTTAGAGTGAGTGAACACAACCAGAGTGAAACATTAAATGGAATATATTCCCCAGGGTCTATGAAATATGCTTAGGGTAACTCATGTCATGACTCAGTGACCTATATCACTAAGGCTACAGGAAATTAATGAAATCAACTTGGCTTTAAAAGGCAATTTGGTTCACAAGGAAACCCCTAAATGCTATTTTTAGTAACTTTATTCAAACCCTGACCTCCTAAACAATTCACAGATGTGAACTCGGCCAACTATGCGTCTCGTAAATAAGTCACTACAGACAAGTCAGGAAAAGTGACATTTACAGGGAAAACAAAATTACTGTCAAATGTCTAAAATATCTGGTCTGAGACTGGTGAAACCTAGCACTTACCGGTATAATCTGACCACAGACACCCACAGGTTCATGTCGAGTATAGGTGAAATAATTCCCGTCTGTGGAAGCAAATGTTGGCTGTACAGTTTTACAGTGTAACATACACAGGCATATAGTTTACTCAACAAGAAAGTTAACAAACTAACACACACCCATCACAAGATTTTTCTAGTTATCTCTCATTTGGGCATGTCATCAAGCTCTTACACCAAATTACTGGGTAGATTTCTTCTTCTTCTCCTTTGGGCATGTCATCAAGCCTCTTGCACCAAATTACTGGGTAGATTTCTTCTTCTTCTCCTTTAGGCATGTCATCAAGCCTCTTACACCAAATTACTGGGTAGATTTCTTCTTCTTCTTCTTTGTTCACCGGCTGTAAGCTCTGGAGGAAAGCTCTAGTTGTTTGTCCATTTGGACTCTGGCTTTGTGCCAAGGCCTGAGTTTTACATGTACATCCATTTTACTGGCTTATTTATGTGCAGTTGGTTGTTCCTTGCCACTCAGGCAGATGCAAAGGTTGCCCCCAATTAGTCGATTCCTATAATATGCTCATTGGGGAGGTAGTGGGTACAATCGAGTCGAACTCGGATAAGTCGAATTTTTGTTAAGTTGACATGACCAGCTTTGCAACGACTAAGCCACAGACAGAGAAGACAGTCAGAGGCAAAATGAGAAAACAGGACACAAGATTCAAGCTGATAAAGGGACAAAAGTAAGAGGATTGGGGCAGCTGGCTGTCTGACTATTTTCCATCGGGGTAAAGGGCAAAGGAACAGGATACCTTAAAAGAAAAAATCTTTTTTTTTTCTTCTTTTACTTCACCAGCGTAAATTGGCGGAAATTTTTAGTTGTTTATTCCACTTGGGACTGCAGTCCCTTTCCAAACCAAATGTTGCGTTTTTCAGATCTAAATCATTTTTACAGCTGCTGGTTCCTTTCCTCACAGGGAAATGACTCTGCTTTAAAGGGAACTCCAAAATTTGTCGCTCTTATATGACATGCTTTTGGGGAGGCATGGGTCTTTTTTGTTTTCCCTATAATAGGGCCCCGGAACCCACATCGAAAAAGCAAAAATCAAAACTATGATTAAAAAAATCTAAATTTAAAAATGTTTTCCCCTTTCTAGGTTAACTACTGAATGGAAAATACCCATGGGGTAGTCTTGGGCCCCAAAAACTTGTCCGTCCCTCCG